ATACTACGTGTAAACTAAAATATGTAAATAATAAATAAAAACATAACCGTTCTGATACCTGTGATCACCCTCTGTATGATAGAATCTATCTAAAGTTAATAAAATTTTAGTAACAGTACAGTATTATTATTTATTTTATATATTAAAATATATGACATATAATGGGCATAACTTTATTGATATTATGTTCTAGGAATATAGTAGCAGAGAAACCATATTATGGCTACCATACCACATCGAAATATCATATGACTTGTGATTAGTAAATGTCTTTTAACCTCGACCAAAACATAATTCTTGGATATATTGCAATTTTGTGGCAATAAAGTTTGAATTTACTTAATCGCTTGATCTTATTGGTCTCCAACTCATTAAACAAATAACAAACACATCGTTAATCAATTCCCGGCTTAGAATGTAATATTTATATTATGTTTTTCCGAAATGGAAATATCATAAAAAGTATAAGCCCTAGGCATTTTTGTTATTAATACTAATAGGAAATCATGGCAGTGTACATAGTTATGTATGATTGATACATTAATCAAAACAACGCAATACAGTATCAACTCACTAGGTTACTAGCATAGTAAAAAAAAAGTTTACCCATTATACATATTTATTTTGGTTTTCCCATTCTCCATTCCCAGAAGAAAAAAGACAATGGTGACTTCAATGCAATCCCAATTAAAGCAAAATAACTTTAACGCATGCCAAGCAAATGTTTCAATTCGAATAATTCCATCTTCAGATTTCCTACATTATTTACCACTTTGCTCCACGCAAAATCAATCCACTGTACACAAGAATGACCTGTTAGCTCATTCCTTTCCATAATTATATTTTCCAGTCTAATATCCCCATGCTTCACTCCTTTGTCATGTATTTCCCGTAAACCATCAATGGCCAATTGCTTTTCTTTTTCTGTGATATTTCTTTTATTTGCAAATGACTCTCCGGCAAACGATGTAAGTATAAAAGCAAATGCTTCATGGAGAACTCCATATTTAAGAAGCTTTGGTATGCATATTCCTTGAATTTCTTTGAGAGGTCCAAGGTACATTTTAAGTTCATTTAGGATTTCCTGTAACAGATACTCTTTTTTATATAGGTCGACCATTTTAAGAGCTCCTACTTGTTCGTGAAGCTTGGTCATAAAAATAACACCAGATCGACCATTTCCCCACACATCGCCAAATGAGAATTGACTACGTTTATAATTTTCCATGCTATTGAGAAATTCAATATCATTTAATTTTTCTTTTCCTTTTTTTGATTGGCTGCGAGTAATTACTCTTAAAGTCCTCCTAAAGACACTCTTCTTAGAACTTGATGGCCGATATTCATCATCATCTTTTTCTCTATATTTTCTGCTCTTGTCCCTATCTTTATCATCATTGTTGTCTTCACTATCATTGTTTTCATCACCACAAGTATTAGGTGATGAAGAATGTGCGGTTGAATTTGCTGTAGATATATTTTCAAAATAGTACATACATTCAAGGAACGATGCACTATCACCTGTGTGACTTTGATTAATATGAACTGCTGGAGAGATGTAAATATTGTCCTCATTTCCATCCTGACGATAAAAAAACCATGTTCGAATATAAGTTGTGAGAAGGCCATATTTGAGGTCATTAATGACCATATATCCAAAAAGTTGCCTAACGATTCTGATAATTTTTTGATGCCTAGTATACGCAGTGGTTCCATCATCTTCTGCCGTCAATGCCGTGTTATATGCAGCAACCAATTCGGTTCCATCAGCTACCAAAGTCCCCATCAACTGTTCAGTTTTAACCTCAACTGCTGAAAGTATCAGAGAAGCATTTCCGTCATTTAAAAGCTGTATGTTACCAGCACCACAACGTATAGCATCTGGTTGACCTTTAACAGTCCGAAACACATAGCGCTTACTCCAACGTTCTGGCGTTGGCAAAAGAATTAATCTCTGGTTGTTGATAGTTTCCATCGTTTTCAAGAACAGGTCAACAACAGAATCTTCAACAAATAAAGCCCCAGTGACGATAGGCCTGCTAAACCTACGGTTAATTGTGTCAGTAGTTTTTGATGCATAAAAGGCATTAGCAAGAAAATCATCCCATTCCAGAACCGGAATATTAGGAATTTTTCTTGTTGATACCTTTATTGTGATCTCCATCTTAATAGTATGCATTTTGGGAATAGAAACAACTGTTCGGAGAAGCTCTTGCTCGGTAAGTTCTTATAATGTAAAAAAAATAGAGGAAATAAAATGATGGGGAGAAAATATAGATGTTTACTATGATACAACCCAGGCGAAGTATAACAATGGTTAAGTCACCTCGCGTTGACGACGTCACTTACCAGCAAAGGGTTGCTCTACGATAGCGCAAATAGGTTTTTTTGAGCGGGTTTGACGAGAAACAAAACAAGATTATGTAAGTATTCGGTATTATTGGCAAGTATGAAAGCGCAGCAGCGATGAAACGTACCTCCTATTAAAGACTTCAAGTAATCTCGCTTCCCATCATCCGTTTCGAAATCGGGAAGAAAAGATGCGGCAACAATTATTTTTTCAACGTTTTCAGTGAAGTATATGCGTAATCTGATTTGTTCTTCTTGAGTAAAATCAAGACGATTAATTTCCGCTCTTAGAGTCGTCAGTGCATCCATTTTCGTATTGCAAGTTGCTTAATCCGAGAAAAAAATTTGAGAGGATTATTGAAATTGATTGTCAAATTAATAAAACTTCATACTAACGGTCCTAGAATATCATTATTTGTTTTTTTTTTTACATACAGTTCAGGTGATAAATTTTGTAACAGGGTAGGTTAAGACGCGACGTTATTCACGTGACTTAATTCCGCAACGGGCACCGCGAGAAACCTGTTCTTGGTTGGTGGTGTATGATAATCTAATAAAAGAGGAGGGAAGAATTGTGAAAATGAATTAAGTAAGTTTGACTTAGCTTCACCAAATGTTATTAATTTTTCCGAGAGTATAGCCACCCTAGCCTTTTAAAAAAAAAAAAAAGAAATATAAAAGAAGCAAAGCTAAGAATAATACAGAGGCATATCTTTCTTAGTCAACGATGACTTTTCCACGTCTCCTGAGGAGGAAAGGTCGTAAAACTTAATAACAATAACAATACTTAATAATAGTAAATGTTTGTGAAGTATACGTGAACAAAAAATACTCAAATTTTTACCTATTAAACTCGGTCAGATCTAATACACTTCATCACTAAACTATACCCTCCTTATTACGCGTTATGCGAAAATTTGCCCGTATCACCGCTACAAGTTGGTGGTAACTATGATATGTGAACGCTTCAATACCTCCCCTGAGTTTTTGTATATTTCCCCTGACAATAGAGAACCGCCCAGGTCATAATGAGAGAAAAATTGCCTGAGAAAGAAAAATTGTATGTTGGTAAAAACATGGATATACACATTCCCACTTAAAGAAAGATATTAAGTCATTAAAGGTGCGATGAAAAAATAGCCCATTGGAGTCAAAAAAAAAAATGAAAATTCATTATTACCCAAACCCTCACACCACTATCTATGAGAATACCACATATTCCTATGCCATAATAATATTGTCATTAAAAAAAGCTTTTGAATTCAGTGTAACTATAATGTTTAAAGAAGTTACAAATACAATTCAGAGCGCAGAAGCTGGTCACCACACGCCACCTGAAGACCAAAAAAAAAAAAAATCGTGTTGGAATTTCACCGGGGGTATGATAAAACACAAGTAGAGACGATTCGCGATTTCCTGCAAAATCTACAAAATCTCTCAAACAATTCAGTCATAAACGCATCCTAACAAACTCACAAACTATTTAATTTTTATAACATCGTTTCTTTCAGATTTTTGTTTTTCTACTACCCGAACGCTTCTTATTCTTCTTTATTTAATAGCATTTGCATTGTTTGTATGCATGTTTTCAAATATAAGTACTGTAAATAGAAAAAATAATACAAAAGATTAAATGAAGGTTAAAGACTATATAAATGCTATAATTCTTATGAATGTTATAAAATTTATGAATGCTGCCTCATTAATAAATGCTATCTAATCTATTTGATTAATTTATATTATTTATGTTTTAAGCTATTTTTCTTTGATTTTGTTATGTCTGTTGTATCACAGTATGTCACTCATCAGAGTTTTAGAGTGGCTTTAAACATTCAAGCAAATTACGAATGTTAATAATTGGGTTAACTAGTGAAAGTCAGCACCAACTCGAGGTACTTATTAGGTATAACTATGAATTGATATTATGACAGAAGAGACACGACTACCTATTGGGATGAAAATGATCACTCTGACAGAAATTTTGTTATTATTAAACAAAAGTATCAATGAAATAAACTTTGATAGAAGAAAGAATGAGTTGACATATACATTTATAAACTAAAATAAACATGTACAATACAAATATTTACTAGATTATTAAAAAGTATATCAACATTTTTAATATTCATAATAGATTTTAAAATACTGAAATAAATTATTATATAAGAAGATTCAAATTGGCAATTATTATTAAAAATTAATTATAGAATATATTAATTATATTTATTGAAAAAAGACATTATAATATCAACTTGGTAAGTATTAAAACTAGCCACTAATTATAAAAAATTTGCTACAACATTATTAATTCAAGATAAAATCAAAAATTAAATATTTAAAAATACTTTAATAGATATCAAATTTTGTTATTTTTGAATAAATTATTTTATTATTGTTTAATAAACATAAAATTTTATTACTTTTTAATAAACTATATATTATCTTTAAAAAATTATTTATTATTTTTAATTATTACTTTATATAAAAACAAGAATATTATTTTTTAAAAAAATTTAATATAAATATTAATATAAAAATAAATATAAAAAAATATAAGCTATTGTAAAATAAAATTATTTTTTTAAAACCCTTTTTTATCTTTTCTTTTTATCTTTAAAAATATTATTTTTAAAAAAATTTTGTATTTACTTTTTTTTTTATTTTATTTTATTTTATTTATTTTATTTATTTTTTATTTTTAATATATATATATATCTCTCTCTTTTTTTTATTAAAATTCAAATTTATATTTTTAAAAATTTTTTTTCTTTTGTTTAAGTTAACAATTATATTATTAATTATTTAATTGTTTATTATTTACTTTTTAAGTTGATTTTTTTTCATTGTAAACAAGTATAAAATATAAGACTTTATTAATTAATTAATAATCTTGTTATTATATTAAATATCTATTTAAGTTAATATTAATCTATCACATTGTTATATATCATTTTTATATTAGAAGATAAAGAACCAGTAACAGGAAGGTACTTTAGATGGATAGAACCAATATGATATGCTAAAGTTTCTAGAGATATACAAATTAGTACAGTTTTGAAATGTATGAGATCAGATGAAAGAGGCAATAGTGATTTGTTTTATAAAGGTCAAGATATTTATTCAATAAAATATATGTTCAAGCCTATCAATTCCTAGGCAAAATTGGAACCTTTATATATATATTTGAATTATAATATTTTTGTATATAATAATTATGAGTTATTAAAAATGATAAAAATATAAAGGAAGTATTATATTCATCAGAACAATTATCTATACATGTTAGTATAGAAATAAATGCTTTGGTGAAGATACAAGAATAAATATAAATAAATAAAATAGGAAATATTCCAGAACAATAATAGCACAAAAAGCACAGTACTAAATAATAACAAGAATGGTAATATAAGAATTATTCTAAAATGAACAATATTTTAAAAATAAATACTAGTGAAAATTGGACAAGAGGATAGTGATGATCTTGGATAAAAATCAAATATAACAATATATAAAACTCTTAAAATAATATTATATTATTAAGATGATATCACAATAGAAGTAATTTATAAATAGTTTATACCTGATTATAAACAGTTATATTATTATAAATATTAAGAAAATTATTATTATAGTTGTAGTAAATATTAAGAAAATAATATATATAACTAGTATAGATAATAGAAGAATAATTTGTATAACTAAAATAAATATTAAGAAAATAATTTGTATAACTAAAAAAAAATAAAAAAAACTAATTTTTGTAATTATAATAAATATTAAGTAATAAAAATAAATATTGAAGTTTTAAAAATACAATTTGAATCCATGAAACTATATAATTGCTAAAAATATATTATTAAGGTTTTGATAATACAACTTGAATTTACATAACTATATAATTGCTAAAAATAGATTATTGAGTTTTGATAATATAATCTGGATCCACATAATCATATAACTGCTAAGTTAGGATTTGTTGGAATTTTAAGAATATTACCTGGATTCATAAAACAATATAACAGCTTGATTTGATATATAACTATATTAATTGTTAAGTTGTTTTGATTTTAATTATTGAATATTATCTGATTGATACAAGTGAATATATTAATCAGTTGATAAGAATAAGTTAAGTTTGGTTTTTGCTGTGTAATAAAATTAAATAACTTGTAAAATGTAGAATATAAAATATTTGATAGTAAAGAGTAAAATAAACTATACAAATAATTTAAAACATTTGTATAAAGACTTTAAAAATAATTTAAAAAGTTAATATTATTAAAAAAAATAATTATAATAAAAACATAAGGAAGAAAAGAATATAAAAATAAGTTATAAAAGATAACTGTCATAGATTTTTCTTTATATAATCAAAATTCTTGAACCTGCTTGTTATTTAATCAAATATTTTATTATAATGTAACAGTAAGTCTTAATTCTTTATATTTTTAAGCTTATAGTTAAAGATGGGTTCCTAAACAGGTGATAACTATTTGTTACCTGTTTCGATTATTAAATTTTTATAATCTAAATTGATCTATATATAACTTAAACCAGGTGACATTTAGTATCACATGGTTTAGGGACCTATCTTTACTTATAGTATATTTTTAAAAATTATAGCAAGGGAAGTATTCTTTTAAAAAAAATTATAATAAAAATTTTTTTTAAAAAAATTAGTAGTAAATAAGTAAGAGTTTTTATTATTTACTTTTTAAGTTATATATATATATAGTATAATGCAAAAAATTTTATAATATTATTTATATAATATAAATACATATAA